CGGGTCTCTGGGTGTCAACTTCCCTCCCCGCTCGCCTGTGCTGCAAACTGGCAACGCAAAGAATGCCTGCGTGTGTGATGTGTGCGGCATCCTATACCGGACACGTGCACTCGTATGATGCCGTGTGTTGGGCAGCCTGCATTTTGGTAAAAGACCTGCAACCAAGTGGCTGGCCTCTGAAGGCACTGATCAATGCCAGGGTGTGCTGCAAAATGCATGTTTCTCCTGGATTGCTTCTGCCAAATTGGAAACGTTTTGGGCAAAAAGAATGAAACGTGTGGTGGAAAGAGAGAACTTGGCTCTTCATTGACTCTGCTCAGAAATGTCAAGAACTGAAGACTGTCTCTCATTTCTGGACTAATTTTGCAAATTTGACACCAAGAGCAATGAGGATAAAAACCTTGCTGACAAGCACAGACTAGAATTCTGCCTTGTATCGAGAGTTCTGGCTCTTCAACTTAAGCGGTCGTGTTACAGCCATGATAACCCAGGAAATATGGAAGAAGCAAGATTTTGTTGGTAATATCTTTTACTGGGCCAGTGGTAGAGATAGGAGAGGTGTTGGTATGCCCTTCCTCAGGGCTGGGAGCGAAGCAGATGCCACCTAAGCTAAATACCAGGTAGAAACAGTTTTTTTGTTTTTTTGGGGGTTTTTTTAAAGGGTAGGGCCCTTTAAAAAACAGGAGAGGACCTAAGAGAGACTGAGGGAGCTACAGACCAAATAAAGAACAGTTGAAATGGGTAAACCTAATTAACAAAGATAATTAAGAAAAGGCCAAACAAAACGAAGAGTTGTTCACACCTCTGCAGTACAACGAGGTGCCCGGAGGGAGTAGGTACATTTGTCTGTGATAAGTCTATTTCTCTAAGTATCCACAAAGAGAGCGCATCCAGGACTGATAACAGCAAGTGCTGTGGAAAATCTCACCCCGGCCTCATCGGTTATCGTCGGTCTGTAGCTGTTCAGTGGGTTACTGACAAAGCTGCGTAAGGGCTAGGAGTTCTTGCCTCCTAGGTCTGGTCCTTAACTGCAAGACGGACCTCCCTTTCTGCCTGCTGGCCGAAGCCTGGTGGGGCTCTTCTGCAGTTGATGTTAAGTGAAATGAACGGCTAGCTCAGCTGGGCGTCTCCTGTCTTTGGAGGCAAGTGCCCAGCCTACCGCCTGACTAGTGGGGGTTTTGCATCCCGAGTTGAGGTCTGATATGTGTAGGTAAAGACACAGCCATCGGTCTGCTCGGATCTCGGTTCAGGAGTGGGGCCTTGGGGCAGGATGGGGACTGCCTCTCTCCTGAAACTTCAGATGTGCAGGGCAGCTCTTTTATGTGTCCCATCCCCCCCCACCCCCACAGCCTCCATCTCTGGCAGTATCAGCAATGGAGGTCCTCAGGGCTCCCTGGGAACTGTTTGCTATTTGTACCTCCTCTGCTTCCCCCATCTGTTTGAGAGTGGAGAGGGCTCCTTTGTGGGTGAGAGTTCAGCTTTCTGCAGCATTACGCTTGATGCTGTCTCCTGTCTTCAAGGCCTGCTGCTCCAGTGCCACCAGTCTTCATGTTTGTGTAAACCCTGGCTGTTGCTTTGGTTTGCTCCTCAGCAGAATCGCTTGAGATGGAGGACGTGGTGATTGCAGGCATTGCAGGGCGGCTGCCCGAGTCGGAGAACTTGGAGGAGTTCTGGGAGAACTTGCTTGGTGGCATTGACATGGTCACAGATGACGATCGGAGGTGGAAGCGAGGTGAGCCCTGAGAACTGCTGCCCACAGGGCTTGCAGTCTGAGCTCCAGTGCCTAGAAGTGGGGAAAAGGGCCCTTACTGGCAGGGAAGGCCCAGCCTGAGGACTCGCATTTGCTTCTGATGCTCCAGTGTTTTTTGCTTTTATACAAATCCAACCCATGTCCACTTGGGTGTGGCCCATACTATACAGGGATGCCTCAGTTGACTCTATGGTGCCGCTTGACCACAGAGAGGCTATTTTAACTGTGCATCTCTGTCCTGGCTGTCCAGTGGTGACTTTCAGTGTAGCAATAAGAGTGACAAAACAGTTCAGTGGGTGTGAAATGGGATCTCCGTGGGTTTGGAGAGAAACAGGATGACAGCAATCCCTTGACTTGTCATACTTTCCTAGCTGTGTGGGTTATCCATTGAAAACCACTCTTTTCTCACTGAATGGGTTGGCACGTGCCAGCCACAATGCAGAGCTCATTTGCAGATGCGCAGAATCGCTTCAGTTTTTCTAACTGTCGACTAGCTGGCCCTGCTGTGACCAGCCAGCCGTGGTGATTCAGAGGCTACTTATTAACTTGGTGAAAGTTGCCAGACCAGAAGTTTCCTTTAGGCTAGGTATGTCAGCAGATGGATTCCATTTTGGAGAGCTTTTAGTTTCATCAAGGATCTTGTTATTGCAAATTGTAGCAGCAGAGTGCCAGGTGAGTGGGAAGGTACAGACGGCCTGTAACAGTGTGTGCTCCACTCTAGAAATAAGACTTGTCAGGCAGAGTAACCACAGCTGGCACAGGATTCCCGTTTTTTTTTTTTTTTTTTTTTTTTT